GAAATGCCACCAGCCAAAAGTAGTATTCAGAACATGCAGCAATCTTAAGATTTTCAATGAAAAGAAAATTAGGAACTTCACATTTACAAATTGCACAGATTGCAAGTGCCTGGCTAGCTCAGTCGGTAGAGCATGAGACTCTTAAAAATTGCACAGATAAAACTACTGATATGGGACAAAAAATCAACACATTTCATTTTAAAGTCACCTAGGGGATAAGTTGTGCAAGGTATGTGGACCCTACTACTATACAGTTTTCTGTTCCTCTTGTACCTGTAAATTGTGGTACCTGCTAACTAAAGTCATCAGTCACACTAAGAAAGACTTCTGATTATTACACTGAAATCAACAAACACAGCATGCCCCAAGTTTTAAAATCTATGCTTATAAGATCTAGTTTAATAGCCTTTGAAGAAACAGGGAGCAGAAGTTTACCTGATATTGTAACTTGGTTAATTTGTCATATAATGTGACATAATATCATAGTGTAGAATATTATGTGTATACTAGAGGCCCAGTGCACGAAATTTGTGCTCATCCCAGTCTGCACCCTCTCACAATTTGGGACCGTTGGCTCCTAACTGTTCATTTGCCTGCCTGATTGCCCCTCACTGCCCGCCCCCATGCTAGCCAGGTCACTGGCCTGGTCACCCCTCAATGCCCCCCATGCTGGCCTGGTTGCCCCTCACTGCCCCCTCTGTTGACCTTGTCACCCCACACAGTCTGCTGTTCAGTCATTTGGTCGTCCCTCACTAACCCCCCTGCCGGCCAGGTCGCCCCAGCCTGCCCTTTGGTTGTTACTGTGAGGGTGTCATGACCAATTCACATATTACCCTTTTATTAGTACAGATATAAAATCCTATAAAATAAAAGGCTAATATGCAAATCGACCAAAAGGCAAACCAACCGGTCACTATGATGCATACTGACCACCAGGGGGCAGGCACTCAATGCAGGAGCTGCCTCCTGGTGGTCACTGCACTCCCATGGGGGAGCACCGTTCAGCCATAAGCTGGGCTCATAGCTTTGGAGCGCAGTGGTGGTGGCAGGAGCTTCTCCCACCTCTATGGCAGTGGGACATCTCACAAGGGCTCCCGGACTGCAAGAGGATGCAGGCTGGGCTGAGGTTCCCCACGCCCTCTCCCTCCAATACACAAATTTCATGCACCAGGCCTCTAGTGCATGATAAATAATATGAAATACGGTACGTAAAATACAATTGTATGGATCCATGTCATTTCAGCCAAGAGTACAATAGTAGCCTGAGTCCTTTGCAAAACAAAAAATTAAAATGAGTAAATATGAACACATTTACTCTCTTGAAGTGTCTGGGAGATTCTGATAGTAGAGAAGACAGAGAATTCCAGATGCTCAGGTTTTTCTGCACATCTGACTGAGGTTAAAGCTCATTGCACTATATCTTTTGTGTGTGTCTGATTATTTGTGCCTCTATGGATGATGGTACAATACAAAATAGGAGTTTAAGGTTCCTGCTAAAGTATAAAAGGACTGAGTGAATCAAGCATTTATGGATAAAAATCTGAGATGGTCATAAAACCATTAGACTAATTATACTAGATCAAAGCCTCATTAGTTCATAATCCACTTTCTCCTTAGACAATTCTGCATAAGCTCTGGGCTTATTGTTCATATAGTGCAGCAAATGGAATAAATGCAGTATCCCTTTCTACTCCAAGGGTGACAAAAAAAATAATATATGTGGAAATGTTTTGAAAAGAAAAATGACACTCTATACATGCAAAATAATATTTCTGTCAATAGGCACTACTGACATCCTCTCTAATCATAGCGACATTCCATATAATAAATCTAACAGCTAGGTTTGTCATTTCCTGTCTGTGATGTGAAGTCTGCTGAAGCCGGTGTCTGCAGTAGTATAAGAATGGTGGTTCTGCCAAGTGCTTTGCACTTCTATCAAACGGACACAATAAATTAAATCAGCAAAAACCCCACCCATGAATCTTTGACTTCTGTAGTCACCCTAGAAAGATGTCACAGGAAATATTTTGAAGATGAACATCTCAGTCCTTAAACTCTCAAAAAGCCATTCATTTCTGCCGAGAATGGCTTTACTGATTACAGAGGCTTTCTTAAGATGATTAGACACAAGATGAAAGGGGAAAATTAATAAGTGATAGCTACTCCAGCATTTCCACTGCCTTAATCATCAAGGATTGTAGGACAGTCAATCAAATTGATGTCATCACCTATCACATGTAAAATATCTTTAAGGAAACTTCATTATTTCCAATTCATGCATTCTGATTGCCTTACATATTCTTCTACTGCATGTGAGGTAGCTTTGTTTTATGATTTTCTTATATTAGGAACCCAGTAGGTGAAGAACAAATATTTCTATTGAGTTACATCTTTGGATAGTGTCCATATATATCCATATATATTTAAAATTAAAATATAGCTTATTTTAAACAGCTAGAATCATTAAAACCACAAAGTTAGAAAGGTCATGTAGATTAGTCATCATTTCGAACACTTGTGACAGGCCAAATTATTGATATAAATGATCTCATTTCATTTTGACAATAATTCTAAGGCAGAAAAATTATTAACCCCATTATATATATGAGGAACCAGACACTTAGAGTTTAAGTAATTTGCTCAAGGTCACACAGTTTAGAATTGGGAGACCTGAAATTCCAACATATATTTGTTTAACTCAAAATATAGGGTGTCCACCCAAAAATGTATACATATACTTTGCATAATTATAAAGGCAATGTTTATTAAAATACATTTCATTTTCAAAACTGAGCTATCAGCTGTGAGAGTGTGCATACATGTGTTTGGGGCGCCCCGTATTTGCTTTTCCCTCCTCATCTCCCAGTGGCAGGAAGCTCATTCCTCGTGACACAACAAATCTTTGGACAGTTCTGACCGATCTTGCTAATGTCAAACAACTAACTAGAAAAAAATTTACAAGCTGTCATAAAAACTCATGCTATCATTTGTCATCAGTAGCCACATCCTGAGCCTGGTGGGGAGTCTAAGCCTACATTTTTCCTTTGAAGATAGTCCTAAAAAATCTTAATCATCCTATCATACATTTCTTACTTGGCTTTCATATTGTAATCACATGCCTTCCCTTTCCTTAAAAAGAGGAAGCCTTAAGACGTAGCTGATGTTGCATCATTTCTTGATTGAGGTCCCAGAGTTCTACACAATAAATCCAGATGATTTTTAGCTTGAAAATGTGTTCATGCAGAACCGACCTTCTAATTTTGACAAGAACTTCCAAGTGATTCCTGTAAAATATCTTATTCTAGGTAGAAAACTACCTAGATAAACTACCTATAAAATAAACCTCTAAGAAGGAGACTAAACTGAACTTTTAAGGGATAATTTAAGCCTATTCCATATGTTATATATGACTATCCAAAAGTATTTTACCTTGGTGATAACTGTTGCTTAGTTACAGCTTCTGTCTGTTCCTACCCAAAGGATCCCACTACCCTTCTAATAAGATGAAATAAAACCACATGTATAGCACTTTTATTTTGTCCTTGTAGTAGCATAAAGACATGTGTCCACTTAGCAAATATCTATGAGTATTATAACAGTGTTATCTGATACCATAGGAGATAGAGATGGCATCACTGGTGAATTATCTTACCTCTCCAGCTCTCTCCCACTCAATACCTTTCTCCATATTTTCTGCTTCTCTCCAGAAATACTTGGCTTGCCTCCAAGAGTCTCTTTATAAACACACTTCATAGTTTATTTTCATGCCTCTAAAAAAAAAAAAATGAGCTCCCCGATTTCAGGGTTTGGCCAGTGTCTTGGCTTACCCATCAATCTTCAGCAGAGGGGGCTCCAAAATTGCTAATTCCAAGTCCCAATGCCACACACTACTGCCTCGAAATACATGCTAAATAGAAATAAGCTGGTATTGCATATAATGAATTATTCCCAAAACTTTATGATATCTTTTCAAATAGACAATAAGTTTAACAAACTCTCCTTTTTTATTTCAAAAGAAAAGCAACCAAGAATAGAAATCATTTAGAATTTGATATAATGTAAACACATTATTATACAGCTCTGTGTTAAACAGAATTCCATCATACACATAGATAAGTCTGCAAAGTAAAATCCTGATATGAAATGATTACTGTACAATCAGGATATTTGTCCTGTTACCCAACACCAGCATATATTCAATAATCAAAAACTATCTGTTAAGAATGCCAAGCACTAAAGAGGACTTAACTATACTTAATATTTGATGTTTTATAGGGTCACGCTCTTGATTAGCTTGGTACACAACAATATTCCTATGAACCGACAAGTCTTATATAAAGACATCTAAACAATTTTTGAAAAAATGACTTTCCAAATAAATATGAAAATGTAAAAATGAAAAAGGTATTAGTTCCCAAGTTTTAGTTTCAACTCTCATACCTTTTCTTCCCCACTTCCAAGACTCTAAGCCATCGCTGACCTACTATACAAATAAGATTCATCAAGGAAATACCATAGTTAATATTCTCTCTAAATAAATTACAAATAATGTGTCTATATATAATGTCCTCTCTCTCCCTCTCCTTTATATGAAAAAGATGACTACAGAAATAAGAATAATATGAAACCAAAGTAAACCAAGTTTAAATGTCCAGAATAAAAAATGTGATGGAATTTATAGATACTTATGGTGATCAATTTCCCATTGCCAGAGTAACACATCCCATTTAATCACGCCATTAAAAGTTGCTATATCATGCCTATTGTATAAAATGTGCCCACATTTTTAAAAAAAAAAAAATGCAATTTCTTGCAGATGGCAAGGTAATGGAAAAAAATCTCAGTAACTAACCCTCTATTGGAACCCACCCAACGAGTTTAATTATAGACTTGCCCATAATGAAGACTCCCTGAGACAAGTGCTTGCTTGGAAATCTACTCCACATACTCTAGACGTCGTGAAAACAAACCCAATACTTGATTATCGCTGAGATACTCACAGTAGAAGTTCCTTTTTGCGCGTGGGTTCATCATTTGGGGATGTTTTCATCAGGAGTCATCATGCTTTTGATCTTGAACGCCGTTCTTCCTCCAAGCTTTCTTGTCCGTAATTTCCAAAACGGAGTCACTTGTACTAACAAGCCATCGTCCCATCCTGTTTCCTTTCTGTGTGTGAGTGCTACCCTATAGATCAATTTCCTGTCCAGCAACACTCAAAACTGAGCACACGCTGCTGTGCGCGAGTGAAATATGCTACTCAAACGCTCTGCCTCTGCAGTTGGGTTCCTGAACTATATCCCAGTGATTCCAGGGAACTTACAAGACAGAAGTTTCTTCCTTAGAAATGCGCAGATCAAAACTGCCTCTGTCATGTTTCTCACCAGCTTGGGGGCCAGTTCTATGACCCGCGAAGCGCCCATGTACTGTGTGCAGCCCGAAGACCCTCCCAATCGCCAGAGTAACAATATCCCAGCTACATTTTAAAAACGGGCTTAGTATGCTTTGAAGTACATAATGTTTTCCATTCCTGAAAGGACAAAGAGATCTACATTGTCAAAGTTTATTTTTAAGCTCGTGTGCTTGCTAAGTGCAGTGGCGAGCAGGCTTTCCGTGCCTGTGGTACCATCGCTGGAACCTATTAATGCAAACAGATGAATCGCTGGCTTGGTTCCACATAGGCTTTTATTCATTCCCCCCCCCCCCTTTTTTTAAATCTTATCTAAATTACATTGGTTATCATTTTTCAAATCAAGAAGGCTATCAATTTTTCTCCGCCTGCTTGTTTTAATTTGATCAGTACAGAGCAATGTGAGAAAGGCAAATAAAAGGAAGTTTTCAAGTAGCTTTGGCTGACCTAAGAGAGTTAGCAATTAAAGGTAGATTCTTTTTCTGGATAAAGGTGGAGGGATATTTGGAGACAAGAAAAAATGGCAATACGTTTTGGATAACATAGACAAAGATAAAGGATGAAAGAGTGAGAGAGAGAAGAGAGAGGAGATAAGAAGAGAGAGATGTCTTAACTATTAACACTAATGCTTCACATATTTTCTTATTGTTGGGGAAAGCAAATTGCTCTGCTTTGTATAACCCCCTACCGATCTGCTCACCCCACCAAAATAAGCCCACATGTCATCTGATACCAGACCAAGACTCATGGAAACACATTATTGTCCTGTGAAAGCCCTAACAAAACACAACTGAGCAGTGAGCATAGGGTGGCCCTGAGGTAATACAATCCATGTTATAGAATTTCTAGCCCCAATTTTGAACATCTGTTTTTGATGTGATAATAAATGTGATAATGTACATTAAATGCCAGCATTAAAGTAAGATAATCCTTCCATCTGACGAAAACAAGGCATGCTTTTCAAGTCACATAAGAGAGAGAGATTAGGAGGATAGACACTTGTGTTTGTGCATCTACTAGAATGACCCTCCCAGGCACACACACGTACACACGCACAGGAATAGCACAGAAACTATCAGCAATAAAGAAATAAAAGGATGTTCCTTTTCTAGACCTCCCTTTGCACAGTTGCACTACTTCGTCAGAGATCTGAGATGAAAGGAAATAGAAGGGGGATGTGAAAAATAACAATACTAATTGGACCAGACAGAGATGGGAGCCCCTGACCTTGGCTTTATTAGTCCTGTCTCATGCTGTAATCTGATGAAGTGCCCAGCCACTGGCCACTTGAAAAGTAAATTAAATTGGATTATCCCTATCCTGATTTAAATTCATGGGGAATTAGCGTTTCTGTGTTTCAAGCCCAAATATTACCATGTTATTAGATGTCAAGTAAATTGGTGCTATAAATGGTGCTAGAGTCCAGAAGTTGAGATCCCTCTAAATTGGCAACCTAGAATTAGACCAGTTGATTTTTAGAAAAAGAAAATAGAGAACTAACGCAAGAGCATCTGCTGACCTTTTATATTTGCTTAGGAGAAGGCTGACAGGGTGACCTGGAGGATGGGAAGTGTGTGGAAGCTGCTGAGACAGAAGTCATGTTGGGAATGACAAAGGGTTAATCAGTATGATGAGGTTGAGATAAGGATGAGGCTCCTGTTGATTGGGCATTCATGTGTTTCAGAAAGGGAACTTTGTACAGTGGTCTATTGTACAAATTCCACTTACCAAACATCTACTATATCCCAGGTACTGTGCTAAGAGCACAATTTTGTATGATAAGTGCAATAATATAAATATGAACAAAGTAGAAAGGTAGCAAAGATAAGGGAATTTTCATTATGTTTGGCAAGATTTAAGTTGATGTCCAAGCTGAATTTGGGACAAAATTAGAAATTTGCCAAGCAGACAATAGGTGGTAAGATATTCCAAGCAGTAGAATTAGCTTATGCAATAGTGAGATGAGAGAAATGGAAACATTCTCAAAAACATAAGTAGTATAAATTATTAAATGTATACATTATTAAAATTCTAGTGACATTTCGGAAAGAGCAAGATAATCCCAGTCCAGGTTTGTCCATCTTACTCAACCATGTGAACCACCCAAAGGGAGAAACTAAGTCTTGTATATCTTAGGATCACCTCTATGCCTGGCACATAAAAAACTGACTGATTAGTAAACTGCATTGCCACTCCACCCTCCAGGAAAAAAATGATATGAGTACATCTTGCTCCAATGGTAATCTGTATTCTGCTTTCTCCCAGCAAAGAGTCTTGCTCAAAGTATGTTTGAACATCAGGAATATTGAAAATGTATCCCCCCCCCCCTTGTTTCCTGCTGATGTTCAAAGCTTCATGAGTCAGGTGAATGGCATTTGAAGGAGCTGGCAGAAATAAAAACCCCAAGTGCTCTTTCTTGGTTTGAGCCAAACCCAAACCTTTTGAAAGGCGTGAAAACATGCAGCCACATTGGTTTGGTTTTCCTTTCCTGGGCCGCTCTTCTCCTTGGTGCTGGCCAGCACCACACAGAAGTCTTGCGACATGAGCCATTTCCACGGAATTTTTAATTCTGCCAACAACAAGAGGGATTGGAAATTTCGTGAGAATGGTTATTCTTAGGAGATTTCCATCCCAGATTCCTAGCTTGTGTGGCTCGTATAAGCATCTAAGATGCACTGCCAAACCTTCTGAGGTCCCCGATGCGCTTATTTCCACTCACATGTCTGCATGGAGACCTCAAAGTAGCAGTGATTGCAATGGTTTGTTGGGAAATACTTTCGAATGCCAGCCCAAGATCCCCCTACCTATGTGGAAATAGCTTTGGAATGCCATGATAAAACAAACATTGGGTTTAAATGTACCCAGAATATGTTCAATTTTTAGATGAGATGTGTTTACATTCTCCCAAATAAAAATAACCTAAGCAGCCCTTCAATTATTGTCTATTCCTTTCCTTCTGAGCAACTATAAAATACAATAAGAATGTTTCCTTAGTACGTTGCTAAGTATATAATAGCTCAAGCTCTGTCTATAGGCTTAATTCTCTTATAGACTTCCTATGAGAAGACTAGATCACAAATTCACCCCAAATAGGGACCCTATTTCAGCCATTGCTATGTAACCTGCCACCTCCAAACTCAGTGGCTTAAAACAATAGCCATTTATTATTATTGGTGACTATTTTATGGATCAGCATGACAATCCTGGTCTCCTCTGGGCTCATCAGCTGCATATGGGTGAGTGACTGCTAATCTTGACTGGGCTCTTTGACCTGTTTTGGGGTCAGCTACCTGCAGGCTGGTATAGGATAGCCTAGATATTCAGCTCTTCTCCCTGAATTCTCACTTGTCTTTCATATCCCTCCAACAGGTTAGCCCAAGTGTGGTCTTCAGCCACCTAGTGTACATTTTCAAGGCAATCGGAGGCAAGAGAGGAAGTGGAAATGTGTCAGTGCATTTAAACCCTCTGTTTAGGTCAAATTGCTAAGATCATTTTGGCCAAAGCAAGAGGCAAAGCAAGTCCAGAGTCTGTGTTAGGAGGGCATCTACTTCCAAAAGATGTGAATACAGAGAAGCATGAAAAGTCAGGGGCTTCCATACACTCTATTTACCACAGGTGCAGAATATTATATCTGAAGCCAAGCAAGCCACATATCTGGAGTCCCTGTTTCCTCCCACCATTCCAAGACTTCAGTTCCAGAAGCACACATAACATGAGGTAAGACCTGGCTTCCCCAAAGGTGTCAAGAGGACCAAGTGATAGAACTTTTTAAGTGTGGGGGCAGTCAACTTCCATGAGGCAAGCTTTGACCAACAGAAAGCAGAAAATGGAAGAGAACTGCAAATAAATGTCAACTCACTTATTTCCTTAATGCGCTGCTTAGATGCAGGATTTTGCCATGCCGGTGGTCCAAACAATGCTACAAGTGGTACTCTGCTGATGGAGTGCCTATGTCTCTTTGTGGCCCTTGGTGAAGCTGTGCTCAGCATGGTAACACATCATCTTGCTTCCCACTGTTCTCTGCACACTTCCCTTTCCCTCCTCTCTAATTACCCTGGGATTCTCTTCCGATAAAGCATTAGTACTAAAGCCTGTGTCAAGCTCAATTTTCAAGGAAATCCAGGTGAGACATCTGTTTATGTATATATGTTGTATTTATTTATATATGTATAATGTATATTACATATATATATACTTACACATATGTCATTTGTTCTATGTAGAGCTAAATATTGTTATGTAATTATATAAAGATGCATAGGTTATGTAATTATATGAAAACATCACCACTGTATGATGATATTATGAAATAAAATATCAATTTAAAAGAATTTATAAACTCCAGAGTTTTCATTTTCTTTTTATGTTTTTTGTTATTTTTTGCTAGTGAAAAAAAGGAATTAAGAAGTTAACTTACAGGAATTAATAAATATGAACTTTGTCAAACAGCCATAGACTTTGATCCTTTAGGAGTGTAGGGTTTCAGACTCTTAAAATTAGATATAAATGAGATGAGTACCTTGAAGTTTTTTATCTTAAAATATTTTTAGCTTAAAATAGCTTTTCTATTAAATTTAGTGGGGCTTGAAACCAAAGCTTTGCTTTTGTGCCTCTGCTAATAACAAAC